AAGCTGCATGAAATAAACGAGACGACGATGACGACGACAAACTTCGTTGGCCATGAGAGTCCAAAGTGAGAACTACATTTTTAACCCTCTTCGAGTCCTTCGCTTTAAATTATTCGTTTTGTTTCATTCTGTCTCTTCCAACTCTCAAAGATGAAAGAGGAGGTTTTGGATATGTCCAAGTAACGGAAAAAAAAAAAAGAATAAAAAGATCCATGGTAATTTATAATTTTCCGTTTTCATTTAGTCTACTTCATTTTTAACTCTTACAAGTACCTTATAAGTTTCCCATGTATCGTTCAAAAATTGCTTGAAAAATATGGGAATTTTTGAGATACCCATTAAAATCGATATATTTCTCTTAAAAATGAAGATATTTATTTATTTATTTATTTATTTATTTTTATTTTTTTTATTTTTTTTTATTTATTTCATTGCGAAACGTATGTAATTTTACGCGAGAGAAACAAAAAGGAAGGAAAATTTTTTTTCCGTAAATAAAATAAATATCATTTGTATAAAATATCGTGATAAAAATGAGGTATTAATTTGTACTTCGTGCATTTCGTTAATAAGAATCGAAAAATATCAAATTTTATGACGATATTAATATATATCGTACATACAGATTTTCTAATATTTTAAAAGAGAGAGATAGAGATAGAAGAAAAAAATTGGAGATTAGATCGAGGCAATGTGTTAATGTTCAAATGATGACGACAATTATGGCCATAAGAATCCAAAACGAGAATTACATTTTTAAGCTCCTTCGAATCTCTTCGCTTTGAATTATTCGTTTTCTATCATTCTGTCTCTTCAAACTCTCAAAGATGAGAACTTCTCGATACATTCAAATAATGAAAAAAAAAAAAAAAAAAAAATGAAGTATTGTAATTGATAAATTTCATTTTTTTCGTTCTATTTCGTCTATTTCGTTCTTAATGTAAATCATAATTTGTACGTAACACTGATGGCACAGTGTTTTCTTTTTCTCCAAGGTATTTCGTAATAAAAATAAAATTTTTTTTTTCGATCGATCGATAAGTTCTAATAGAAATGTAATATTGTAATGTAAAATATAATATATCTATTTGTATTTTGTACATTATATATATATATATATATATATATATATATATATATATATAAATTATAATGATATTAATTACCGATTGTTTGATATTTTATAACATATAAAACAAATATTCTTCGAATAGAATATAGTGACAAAATTGAGAATAGAATATAGTGACAAAATTGAGATATGTTAAATTCGTATGTACTCGTATATTCAGTTTATTAAAATCGAAAAATATCAAATTTTATAACATTAAATTGTATAACATTAATGCATATAGGTTTTTTAAAATTTTGTAAGAGAAAAAAAAAAAGAAAACAAAACAAAACAAAAGAAAAAGAAAACAAAAGGAAAAACAAAAAGTTTAGATTAGATTGAGATGGTGTGTTGAAGTTTTGAACGGTTTTTGTTGAATGCCTACGGGAAATCGAAAGTAAGGTAATGGCGGCGATACGAATGACGCACCAAGATGGGGATTGGGGATTGATACCTGCTCCGTGTATACTCCGGATAAGTACCAAGAATTATGAAACGGTCGAGCAAAAACTTGTGAGTCATCTTATGTCTTTCCTGGCATAGTTGCCACGTTTGCTACTACTCTCAGATTCGATAAGTAACTTCTTTTTCAAAACTTTCTTACTTTAAATTATGTACTTTAAACAAAACTTTTCGTCTTTTCTTTTCCTTCAACTTCAACAATTTTATATATTGTATGTGTATGTATATATATATATATATTTTATAAAAACTTTACGACTATAGAAATTTGAGAGAAACTTATTATCGATGAAATTTTGAAAGGATTTTCAAATGGCGAACATTTTCTGATAAAATTTCAACCAATGAAAAACAAGGTCTTTTTCTTCCTTCAACGTCAAATTTCAATGAAAATTAAGAAACACAAACTCTTCCACCTTTTTAATTCCTGTAAAAGTTTCATAACGAATGAAACGAACTTACTCTCATCAACGTTCAATCAAATATGAAACAACTATCTCTTTACTACTAGATAAATAACTGTGACCAATATAAGAAGCAAGATGAAAAATTTGATTCCACCGACTATGGAATATTAATAAACTTGAAACTTAATATTTTGTTGATATTGAAAATACGCTAAGTCATTACGAAGATGCATCCCCTATCAATGCAATATTATTGTAAATCTTGAAATTTGATAGTCTTTTATTATTATTATTATCTTTTATTTTTTTTTTCGACGTCAAGATGGTGATTGACTTCCAAGATGGCGGACGAGCCATTATATGGAAGACATTTTGACGACATAGAAGTCACTCCATTTTAAATGAGACAACACTTCGTCTTTTGCTAATTCCACAAATGACTACTATCATTATTACTTCTCCGATCTCCTAAATTTCATTAAGAAGGATTATTAGTTTAAGCTAAGAGAGATATTAAAGCGCGATAGGCACGAGTACAAAGGAAGGATTAAGATATGGGTTGTTCAATGCCCTCTTCATTACGTTCACAATGGCGGGTGAAATACTGCTGCTGTCGCTGTAAACTGTGCGTATAGGTCGTCACTCTTTCCCTCCCTCACACCCTCCCTACCCCTGCCCTCCTTCCTTTCTCTCTTTCTCTCTCTCCCCTTCCTCTCTCTTCTTCTCTCTCACTCTTTCTTTGTTATTAAAAGGGGAAAAAAAGACAATATACCTATAAGTGAATGGCTTGCGAATACTCCAACTGATTTTTAAAAAGCACTTTTATGTGAATTAGATATTCATACGAAAAAAAGGGAGAAAAAGGAGAAGGAAAAAAAAAAAAAGAAATATATAGAAATTGCGTACAAATATAAATATTGTTCAAATTGTATAGGGACAAAAAAAAAACTATGTCTCCTGTCCAAATTTATTTTTGTTCATTCTTTCACAATGAGGATATCGCGAAATGTCAAACAATGTTTTTGAATTGTTCATTAAAACTGGCTATTTTTTTTTGTTGTTTTTTTTTGTTTATACCAGTGATTCGATATTATTATAAATGGAGATCTCTGATAAAATACATCGCTATAAAATATTCTATTAAATTAAAATGTCTCATTATAAAATAATATCTGTTAAAATATAAAACACATTTCGTATTATTATTATTATTATTATTATTATTATTATTATTATTATTATTATTATTGTTATTATTATTGTACAAATATCGACATTGGATCTACAAACTTTATGTATTATCATGTTAGAAAAAAAAATATAATAAAAATTTATCATGCACTGATTGATTCAAGCCTATTGTTTTTCTTTCCACAAATACATTTTGTGAAAGTAAGCGAATTGATCGGTAAATAAAATCAATTTCCTTATTTGATTTTGGAACTAATGAAAGAAAGGAATACAGGGTGAGTACATAACAGTTCCTGGATAATTAAAAAAAAATTGATTACTCTGTTTTGTTTTCGAGACTTTTCAAACGTGTAGCTGTATGATTTGAAAAGGAAAAAAATGAACATCTCGAGAAGAAAGAGTAATTGATTGGGGAGGTGAGATAGGGGAAGTAATAATCACCTAGGAACTTTTTGGGCCAATTAAGTGAATTTTCGCTTACCCTATACATGCTGAAACGTTAATGAACGATTACGACGAACGATTAGGTACCATGTGTATATAACGTTCTAATACCAAGGAACGATTTCAGGCTCGATAGACCGACAAGAATCTTGTGATCGGTCGATTACATCGTGTAACGCTTGAATTATAGATATCGAGAAGCCTGAGAGAGAGAGAGAGAGAGAGAGAGAGAGAGAGAGAGAGAGAGAGAGAGAGAGAGAGAGAGAGAGGAGAGGTTAGAAGCTGTAAATTGAAGTATAAACTTTGATTACGTTCCTCAAACGCATCATACGATAATACGAATGTTAAACGATGAACTATTACGAAGAGGTTATGTCTAACTATGATGATTCGTATGCGAGGGCAAAAATAGGCGATGATAAAAAAGTTTTAAGGAACGTTTAATCTTCTTGGAAAACGGATACCGTGGTATAAAAAAAAAAAAAAAAAACGTAAATTGAGAAAATGAAAAGAGGGAAAGGATTCTTTTTTTTTTTTGGAAGATAAAGAGAGATAATCTTCTTTTATAAGCTCATTGTAAGTTATAATAAGTAGGATTATCAACAAAGAAAAATATGAAAAAAGTTAGGTTAGAATTTGACTTTATTTTAAAAAAAGAAAAAAAGGGATGTTAGATACTAATTAATATATGTAGATAATGCCGTTGTCATTGAAGATTTTAATATTAAATAACGAAGTATAAAAGAAAATTTATAAGTAAAATCGTATCTCCTTTTTTTTTTCTTTTTTTATGAATATGATATAAAAAGAGAAAATTTACTTCCATACTTTCTCTAATAATAATTTCTAATTGTCAAAGGAAGAAAATACGATAGAAAAAAAAAGGTAGGTTAAAATACGATCATATTAGATATACAATCTAATAAGATTACCATTGCAAATTTAAAATTAATACGGTGAATGTATTAAACGAACTTGATTGTTTCAATACCAAGCTCGCAATTAATCGAGTTATGTTATAAAATTTGGTGAAAAATGATGGACAAGATTCCATTGAAGATTATTTTCCATTCACATTTTTTCTGATAAGTAAACATAAGATTGTCAACGAAAGAAAGAAAAAAAAAATATATATATATATATCTATTTTTTCCTCATACTTTCTTTAATAAGTTTAGTGATAAAAGAAAGTACGAAGAGAGAGAGAAAAAAAAGTTAGGTTAGAATTCAATGATATCCAATATAAAATATAATACAATTGTCACAGAAAATTCAATATTTACTATAAACCTACTTATGTCAATATCAATATTTCAATTAATATTATAAAAACGTTGGATCAATCGTTATCGCTAGATCATTCCGATTCGATAGAAAATTCTTACCGATGTGGCATCACCGTTGGCTTTTTCTCCATCGAGTATCCTCTGTCTGAGGGCGAGTCTTTCGAGGCTTGCCAGCCTGTAACTACCCCCAGCCTCTCTGTCTCTGCTCAGTCTCTCGGCGGCGCCACTGCCGTTCGATCCCGCGTTGAAACTCGATGTGTATTTCGGTAAAGTCGGAGGCGGCACTTGCCGTGGCTTATCTCGATTCAACATCGAATTACTGCTATAAAGGAACGAGGAGTTGTTCGGTATCGTCCTGGTATTACCGGTCACGTTGATGGTTGCAGATTTAAGACCGTTGCTTTGCGTCGGACCAGCTGAACCGTTTTGTTGATTTTCCGTCGACATCTTTCTTTTTCTTTATTTCCTTTTATTTATTTTCTTCTTCTTCTACTTCTTTTTTTTTCTTCTTCTTCGTCCTGTTCGTTCCTCTTCTACTTCTACTTCACTGTGAACAACACCTCCCCCACTTGTACACTTCTTCTCCTCCTCTCCTCTACTTTCCTTTCGTCCCTTCTTTTCTTTCTCCCACGACGATTTTCCGCTAACCTTTTACGAGAGACAACAAATTTTTTTTCTTTTTCCGTCTGTTTTTTTTTTTTTTTACGATTGGTTTTCTTTTTCTCTTCTTCAATTTAATAATATCGAATATTTTTACAGTGGCATAACGAACGATCAAAAATTATACACCTTTTTTCTCTCTTTTTGGAGGATTTTATCTTCGAATTTATCGATTTCCGTGAATATTTTGTTAGGTTAGATTCAAAAAGGAAATCGAATCATTTATCTATTATATAACCTATAAAAGTTTTTTATTTTGTTTATATTATATAATAAAAAAATAAAAAGGGAATAATGTTTTTAATATTAACGTTTAATTGAAAGAAGTTTTCTAAAATTTTAGAAAATTACAATCCCGCTTTTAACGATTCATTAACCAATCTGAAAAATTTTCTAATTTTCTTTATATCATAAGAAATATAATAATATATTCAAGAAATATTAATATTTGTTTGAAAGAAAAAGTTGTTCTCAAAACATTAAAAATAAAAAACAAAAAAAAAAATCGTTCCTACGCCACTGGTCTAACAAACGATACGACACACAAATTTCGAATTTGCACATTAGTTTCTCTCAATACCAAATATATAAATATTATATATATATACATCTCGTATTTATATACATGTACTACATATGTGTACACCGAGCACTTTATATTTTATATTTTTGTTTAATATTCGTCCCGACATGTTGGAAAGGTTTGGTTTACACGATCAAATATAAACTCATTTTTATGCAACATCTTTGAACTTTGACATTAAGGGAACTTTGCACGAAGAAATAATAATTAATCCCTTTGAATTATTTCACATTTTTCTTCTACACTTTTCCAAAGATATAACCTCAATTTCATTTTCATCCCCTCTCTCTCTCTCTCTCTCTCTCTCTCTCTCTCTCTCTCTCTCTCTCTCTCTCTCTCTTTCTCGATCAAGATTATAATCAAAACCAAACAAAACTAAAATCTTTACGGTAAATATGATAAAAATCACCAATAAGATTGAAAAAATATAAAAACAAAATTTACATACGATAATATATATACATATACACATATATGTATATATATGTATATATATGTATATATATATATATACACGTGAAGCTATTGGATAATATACATATACAAATATGTGTACGAAGTATAGAGATAAGATAGAGGAAAAGAAAAACTAAACACAATTTTCCACCATGATGAAAAGACGAAATTTATAAGACAATTCATTGGATGTTGCACGCGTACGAAGTATATATTATATTATATTATATTAGATAAAGATATATATATATATATATTTATATATATGTGTGAAAGAACTATACAAAATAATCCATCATGATAAAATGACGTAACTTAAAAAGTAACCCTAAAACAATATACTAAGTCGAGCATAAACTGAAAAGACTGAAAGCCGTCATCGAAAGTCGATTGATAAATAAAAAAAAAGAAAAAAAAAAGAAAAAAAATAATAATAATAATAAAATAAAAATATCGCAATTCACGAGAGAGAGAATTCTATCGTACGATAAGAAACAAAAGTAGACAAAAATAAAAAGAAAATAAATAAATAAAAACAAAAACAAAAACAAAATTTGTCATATAGAGAGAAACTTGTGCGAATTACGAAATTATCAGAGGACAAGAGAGAACAACGACACTTACGATGTTGAGGTCCGATGCGTAAGGGCGCGCGTACGCACGCACACAGAAAGACGAAAGTCCGTCGTGTGCGAGAAGAGAAAGACGAAGAGCGAGAGAGAAGAAATATATATGTACGTACGTATATATATATATATATTATATACTATATATATATATCTCAACCACAGAGAGAGATAGAGAGATAGATAGATAGAAAAGAGACAAGAAGACGATCGACCGTCGAACGTTGGAGAAAAAAAAAATATATATATATATTTATATATATATATACATAAGCAGAGTAGGAGCGTCGAATACTTTAACACCAACACACCACATAAAATGTCCCTTTACTTTTATATATTTACGTAAATTATGTATATATATTTATGTGTGTGTATGTGTGTATATATTGTGTTTCTCGTCGAGGGAAAGACTAAAAAGATTCGTCGAGATCAAGTAAAATTCCTAAAGAAAGATTAGTCTTTCAAGGAAGAAGATGCACGCCTGACTTTATGGGGGGGATTCCTGCCGCGCGTCGTTCCTACACCACCCTCACTCACTCTCTCTCTCTCTCTCTCTCTCTCTCTCTCTCTTTTTCTTTCTCTCACAATCTTTATCTCTATCTCTCTCTTACTCTCTCTCTCTCTCTCTCTCTCTCTCTTATGCCTTCTCTTCAAAAAGCTTTGCTAAGCTTCACGAACGATCGTATTGTCGCCGTTGTTGTTTCACACAATAGCCGAGTTGCCGGCCGAACGTGGTTAAGATCATCACTCTCACTTTTTCGCTCATCGTTCGTCATCAATGTTGCGTTTTATATTTCTATTATCAAAGAACTGATAGTTAAGTCAATTAGAAATTTATTTCTAATTAGAAATTATTCTATACTGTTCTTTCTTTTTTTTTTTCTATTTCCACACTTCGATTTGTTCGAGGATTTCTATCTCTCTTCTTTTTTTTTTGTAAATATATATATAGGAAAAAAAAAAAAAGAAAGAAAAGTACATATATGTATGTATCAAAAATTTCAAGATCTATCTACGTGTAATTATATATGTATATATATACATATATATAGTGTCCTTTTCTTTTACCCACGCACGTAAGTAGTACTTGAATACGATACACGAGGAAAGGAAAAAAAACTCCGCCCTAAGAGAACACCGGTACGAGAGTCCTTCGTCCGACTAGGATCTCACTGCGACTGCCGGACGACCACGCCTGACGCAGCTGTCGAGTATGGTGGGGGAAAGAAAGAAGCCTCGATTACCCCTAGCCGTCGCCAGGTGGCTCTACTCTCGAACCGGCTAGCTAGCATTGCTGCCAACTTTAACTCGCCGAGTTAACCTAAAACTTTTCATCGACGAATACTTCGAATTGATTTCACATACACATATACAACAGCAGCAGCAGCAGAGCAGACAGATAGAGAGAGAGAAAGAGAGAAAGAGAGAAAGAGAGAAAGAGATAGAGAGACGAGCTCGAGAGAACTCCTGACCTCTATTATTGAAAAGATTTAACGTTCGATCGATCGAGTTCGTCAAATATTCATGAAGATGTATGATTTTGAAACTATTCGATATAAATCGAATAAATCAAGGAATAAAAGATAGAGAAGATACAAGACTAAGATGTAACATAATATTCATGATATTTATATAATTTTGTGTGTATAAGAGATGTTCAGATAAAAAAAAGTTGACATTTAAATTTAGTTAAAATGTGTTGGTAAGGATGTACGCCGAATGTCATATCTTTTATCGTCGTCGGCCAATCAGTGAAAAGTACAAAGACCAATAGCATCGCTTCTTCCCATTTCTTTCTCCGATTTTAAAGTACGAAGAATAATATTGGAGTTATCGAATCAACGACGCACGCGTCCCAATCATAGTTTTTTACGAACGATCTCTCTGATTAAAATGCACGCGAATGTATATTTTCGTTCGATGCAATTTATTTATGAGCGACTTCACTCGTAACTTCGAGTTCTAATTAAAATATAATTTATTTCTCTTTATTTTCCCCACGATATTTCCACATTTGGTAAATAAATATTTATTTTTTGCAATATATTTTTAATGAATTCATAATTAGTAGCCATCGAAATATTAAAAATAAAAAAGAATACTTTAATACCTAAATAACCTAACTTATTTACCCAATTAGTTACGAATCTTTAACATTTCTATATATCATAAATTCAAATTTATTTTTGTAATATATTTATAATTAATTAAAAATTTATATATATATATATATATATATATATATATATATATCGAATTCAAAAAGATACGTAAAATACAATGTGATCTAGATTTCTTGTTTTCCTTTTAGATATCTCAAGCTACATTTTATTAAAAAAAGAACAAGAAAATTTAACAATAAAAGAGAGAGAGAGAGAGAGAGAGAGAGACAGAGAGAGAGAGAGAGAGAGAGAGAGAGAGAGAGAGAGACAGAGAGAGAGACAGAGAGAGAGAGAGAGAGAGAGAGACAGAGAGAGACAGAGAGAGAGAGAGAGAGACAGAGAGAGAGACAGAGAGAGACAGAGAGAGAGAGAGAGAGAGAGACAGAGAGAGAGACAGAGAGAGAGAGAGAGAGAATATGGACCAATGGTAAACGTATGGTCAAGAACATTTTAATCATTTTATCACATCGTAGTTAACATAAATTCTCTGAATTGCATTTGCTTCCACCGACTAATAAACGTAAAAGGGGTCATTTTTATCATCACTATTTAATTTATCTCTTCTTCTTGATAATATTTCCATATAGATTGCCAATATTATAAAATACATAAAAACATATTTATGTATTATTATTGCATATCTATCTCTCGATAGAGTAACACAGCTTTATCGCGTGCATGAAACAATACTAATACACAATTATTATGCTGCAATTTAAATAATTTTTTAATATATTATATATATTAAAAATAATATTTAAATATATTATATATATATATATTATATATATATATTATATATATATATATATAATTAATATTATGTATAATTTAAAATATAAAATATATGTGTATAAATGTATGTATAATATATATATTTTTTTGCGTATATATATATATATATATATATATATATATATATATATATGTATTCATTGGTGCCTCAAATAATTAAAAAAGTGGCACGAAGTATGGAGTCGTTAAAAAATATTTTACGATCACTCTGACGTCGAGTAAAATGCCCTTAGGGTGGTGCATCGTTCTTACTGACATCTAACGGCTGTTATTGGCGCGTTAATTCAAGTTACGTAAATATAAACGCGTGAGGTTAACCGTATATACATATAAGCATCGTCGGGAACTTTCATGTTTGGCTTTTTTGCTTTCTTTTATTTTTTTTTTGTTTTTTGTTTCTTTTATTTTTCTCTCTTTTATTTTCTTTTTTTTTATTTTTTTTTTATTTTATATATTCTATTTTGAAACAAGAGGGCTGAAATTAGTAAAGTTACGATTCGTATCTTCATAACATTGAAATAGCACCGGCAGAAGCAGAAGCAGATGCAGGAAAGCGTCTCTACTCACGGTTTTTGTTTATTTTTCTACTGTACAAAGAGAGAAGAGAAAAGAGAAAAGAGATAGGTCGTTAAATCTTTTTCTTCGTTCTTTTTCAATCTCTTCGAAGAAAGACAGTGTAAATGTTCCTACTCAAAACGGGTTGCATACTATATGGCGTATTTTTCTTTTTTTCTTTTTTTTTCTTTTTCCTTTCTTTTTTTTTTCTTATACATATATCGTCGTTAGGTTCTGTTATGTGCATACAGTTTTCTTTACGATCTCCTTTTTTTTTTTTTTATTCATATAAACGATCTCATAAAAGAAAAAGACCTTTTGCAAAACTTATTACACTGTATGTTTCACGCATAAATATTTTTTCGTTCCTTCTAAAATATCCAAATATAGTAAAGAAACAAAAAACAAGAAGAAAATAAACAAAATCTGAATACATGAAATCTCTAAATTATAATCTTATAGAGAAATTAATGTAAAGGAAAAAAAAAAAAAAAAGAAAAAGAAAAAAAATAGAAAAAACACAAATGGAAGTAAATTCGACGAGAAGTCTCATGTGTTTATGATTAAAAAAAAAATAAGATCTCAAACAATTTTTTATATTAAGAAATTTATCTTCTTTTTCATTTAGAATTCTCGCAGGAAAAATTTTTTAATAATAATAATAATAATAAAAAAAAAAAAAAAAAAAAAAAAAAAAAATTTGATATCACGTGTGCGAAGAAGGACAAATCGGTTGAGAACCGCTGGACTATTTGACCGTAATAAATTACTGATATACATATGCGCATGTATATATATACACACATACATCGTTCGACATTGCTTAATGGAGAATTGTTCAGTTCGATCGTAACCGATTTAAGACGTGCTTGTGATAACAAAGAGCAGTTAAAAAAAAAGGAATATAAAAAAAAGAAAAAAAGAAGAAGGAAGAAAGAAAAATGGCACAGGTCCGATCGTAAGTAAAGCATTCGTTTGATGATATATAACAGTACGAGTATGTATACACCCTACATACTTCTATGCTGGTATTAGCTCCAATTCCAATTAAGGCTACAATGATACTTTAAGTATTCTGCTACGTGCTTCCTAACGACGCATAAGAATACCAATCAGTTGTTTCAACGTTACCACAACGATCGTTGACATCGTGGAAATGAAAACGCTTAGTATGATCTATTTATGTTTCCCATTTGCTGCACGGATTCTATTTTTTTTCTTTTTTTTTTCCATTTTTTTTTTTCCCCCAATCATTTATCATCATTTAACGGATCATGCTTGGAATCAAATATTTCGGTTTTTTTTTTTTTTTTTTTTTTTTTTTTTTTTTTTTTCAAAAGATGAAATGTTAAAAGAAAAAAAGAAAGAAAAAAGAGAAATCGTGTATCATTATTATGGATATTCGTATCATAGAATATGAAAATATTTTGAAAAATTATGTATCATGTATTTTCATTTTACGGATCATAAATTTTGAAGAAAAAAAAAGAGAAAAAAAAAAAAAAGAAAAAAAAACAATCCTTTTTATGAACACTTTTGTATTATAGATTAGGAAAAGATTTGTGATATTGTAATTTTTTTTGTAATCGTTTTATAGATCATGTTTGAAGAAAAATTTGTCAATTTTATGTTTTTTTTTTCTTTTTTTTTTTTATGAGTACTTGCATTACATTAGATCGGTCAATAATTGAAATATCGAAATTCTCAAATAAAAAAATAATATAGTTTAGTATAGTGAACCATTTTTTTTTTTAAATTATTATAATAACGTAGTAGATTACTATAGTAACAATGTAATAATGTCTGAATTATCACTATAAAAATATAGTAATGTCGAAATGCTATTAGTTTAATGTACTATAATGAACCAGTATTTTTTTTTTTATTTTTTTTGTTAAAAATTATAGTAATGGCATTATATAGTTGAATGTCGATATTTTCAATAAAAAAAAAAAAAAGTATTGATTCCATTATATATTAGATAATATTTTTCGTAAAGAAAATTGTCGACATTCCCTATTTATCCAAACGCAATAGAATATGAAAAATATTTTTTTTAAACAAACTTGTATTTTAGCTTCAAGCGTATGTAATATGTAGCACGAAAATATTTTTAAATTTTTGAACGTAAATCAATTAATAATCGAAGGTGAATATCTTGAAGAATTAATTTTTTTTTTCCCCGAATAAAGACATATAGAATACATAGAATATGAAAAAGGGAATAAATAAATAAATAAATAAATAAATAAGTAAATAAATAAAATAATATAAATGCGTTTAACCGACGTGAAATATAATATAAATATATTATCGTGACTAGCTTTTATCTCGTATCAAAGTATTATCAATGTCCAGTGCGTAGTTATCGGAATGCATATTATAACGGCGTAGCACACATAGTGTCATTACGTTTCCTGTGAAACGATGTATCTTAGTCACGTGTTACGTAGAAAAATATAAGAGGTGAATTTCCGTTCGTAAATATAAAGGGAAATATTAATATACGACAATTGGATACGTTCTATCCGTTCTTTCCACGATCTCGTATATTAATAAGGATCTATGAAATAACGCAAACTCCTGCCAATAATTATTTTTGTTAAGAGATAAGATAATATAATACATATATATTGCATGTGTAATGTAACGTTTTTAAAGAGACATTATATATCAATATT